TAAGCACCGTAATTTGAGTGTTCTTTGGGCTTCCCTTATTGTTAAAGCATTTTCCATCATCCGTTCAGTTTTTTCTTTTTTTTTTTTTTTTTTGCTGCTGTAGTCTGTAACTGCTACTCTTGATAAATTTGCTCCAGTATCTGTCAGGGACACATCAAGCACAACAGCTGACTCTTGTCTACTCTTCTTCCCTCAGCCTCTGTTTTCTCCCTATCCTTTTAATTCTAAACAATGTCCGCTTCAGAGGTTGCCGCACATAGCCTAGTCCTCGCCGGAATAACTAATTCCGGTGCAATTATCATTAATGGGGTCATCCTGGATTGTTACTGCTTGAGCACCACCCTGTCTTTTCACCACATAGATTCTGTTACAAAATTCATCGCTGAAGAAGGAATATCCGAATGTGAACAGACCACCTATGTAACAGGTGACAGTGCTGTGGTTTCGGCAATGACAACTAAAATTCAGAGTGGAAATATGAGTGGGGAAACCACTTCTGCTACAGAACAGGGGGAAAGCCACACAGTGAGCACGGGAGTGGATCTACAAATCCAAGCTGAAACAGAATCGAAGTATGAGCAAGGTACTGATATGATGAAGCCAATTGCTTCCAGCGGTCTGTTTGATCGCAAACGAAGTCCATCGATTGCTGCTGCACTCCTTTCCGGAGATCGCGAACCTGGACATAAGGTATACGTACAATTTGTAAGTCCCAGTGGTGCAGAAGTGATCGAAGCCTATGAAAATGAGGAGGAGTTCGCTGGGATGGAGCTATCTGTTCAGTCAGTTATAGGCCGTTTGCTCTTCACTTTGAGTTCATTGAAAATGAGCAACCCTGACCGCCACGCAGCTGCAGTTCGTCGTTTGCAGGATCTTGAAGAAGAATTACGCGCTGTTGGGGCTGTTTGCCCTCCAGATACGACTGCTTCAAATGTTGTTTCCAAAATTCTTGCTTCAGCATCACCCACTTCTGATATTCAGATTCGTGTTAATTCTTCTCAGCATATCACTAACACGAAATCTGTTTTTGAAACGGAAACGCCTGGCATGGACGGTCTCGATGCAGCAACCGTGCAGCATTTGCAGCAACAACTTATATCAAATATGAGTCAGATTTGCTCTTAGTGTGACATTTATATCAATTAATATTTCCTTTGTTTGATTTCTGCAACTAACGCTCCACTTCTCTTGTGCCTTCCTTATTCATTTACTATGGTAGCATTTCAGGTGTGCGAGAACCTTCTTTATCTTCAGCGGAACCAAATATCCCAACAGGTGATACCTATTTCCATTGCTTTATTCCTGAAGATTACAAATTGGCGATATACTCTCTCTTTTACAATGTGTGTAGAATTCGCTTCCTTTTTTAAAATTTCCCTGCTTTATTTCAGCCAAATTAGTTTATTGAATGGAAGGAGGTGTATTAATTATTTAGAAGAGATATTATATCTTATCATGAATTTTTCCTACATCAGAAATTATCATTTTCGAATATACTTCCTGAACAGGAAAAGGAAAAAGTGTAAAGGAATAAAACTGATATTGGAAAATTGTTGAATAATATTTTTAATTTTAAGTTACCGATCAGAGGCATGAAGCCATGGCGGAGGGCTTCACGAGTGAAGATGGTTCTGTGGTTGTATCAAAGAAGATGACACGCGTTGTAACTACGACAAGGACAACATTTCCAGGTTGACAGGCTTTTTCAATACGCAGTTTTAGCATTTAGTTTCAAGTGAATGCGTAAATGTGTATTAATTCTGCAGTATTTTGTGCTGCTCCTAGCTACTGGAACTCCTTTAGCACCTGTGTTCCATTTTGCGTCTCAGCTAGTCGTTAATACTTGTCAGTGCAGCTAGTAAATTAATGTTGATAAGATTTAATATCACAATTTCAATGATTTATTTCATTCAGAACTAGCTGATACAGATTTTTGCTTATCTCGTAAAATATGGTTCATATATGAAGAAATGGTGCACATCTGCATGTTTAAATCTAAAGAAAGGAGCAACAAATAGTTTTTATACATAGCATCTTCAGCCGAAGTTTGATCGAAATTTCGGGATCTGGTTGTATTTGATATTCCTTTCATCCCTATAGTTTTTGATAGTGGTACTAATCACAAGTAATGTCGTAGCCTTTAGTGTGTTCGTTTATTTTAAGGAAATCAAATTTTTATGCTCAGTAATTTTGAAATTTGAAGGAGCATAAATTATTGATAATGAAAGATTTAGATATAAACTAACAGTATAACCGGTTGCTCGTTAACGGTGCAGCGGTATTAGCATGATATTTATGAGTTTTCTGCTGAACTGCTAAAATTATGTTGCAGGAGAGAAGACGGAGTCGAATATGGGTGAGTAAAAGATGAAAAAAATTTATGTGGAACGTCTTGAAATCTGCCAGCTTTCTAGTGATATAACTTTTACTACTGCTGCATGTACGCGGAGTGCACCTTTTTTGTTATGCAAATGTGTTCATAAAAGTTGACTTACTTTCGTTTGTTTGTTTTTGTGATGTTTATCGTTATAGTCATTTTGCTTGGTTGTGTTATTTTCAGCGCTACTTAGGCGTAGTCTTTTTGGTCGACCAACGCTTTCGTTTCGTTTCTGAATTATTATTATTATTTATTATTATTACTTTCTTATTATTATTGTCATTATTATTATTAATTATTATTATTATCATTATTATTTATTATTTTTATTATTATTATTAATTATTATTATTATTATTATTAATTACAGTGTATTAGTGACATTCATTACAAATATTCAATTATCACTCACATTTTCATTTTAAGAATGCATTACTTTGGTGTTACTGGTTGATTGGTTGGTGTTATGTCCTTTTCATCCATTGCTTTCACACTTCCTTTTTGGTCTTCATTTAGGAGATTTGATACGGTTGAAAGTGAACGAACAGGTATACTCAGGCAGTGTGGATCCCGGTGACCAACACATACATTTGGTACCAATTACCAAGCAGCGGCAACAGCAAAAGCTGGATTCAAGCGACCAACAACAACAACAGCATTAGAATCATAGCATTTCAACGAGCATTATATTTGTACACATTGCAAATATTTTTCGTTTTTTTCTTATCTGTTTGCTTGTCTGAGCACTACTTTTTATGGTGCGTCTATTGTTATCACGGTAATGCGTATTGTTTGCACGACCCATTAGAATTTATAGGTCGGTGTTGTGAAATCCCACTAGCCAAGTTTGGAGTGGAACCCAGCAGTTTGAGAGTTCTCCCTATTAGGCAAACAGAAGAGAAGGAAGCAACGAAAAAGGTGGTAATTGAAAAGGGACCAAGAAACAATTAGAATATTATACTTGGTGCCCCATATCTACCTGACATCTTCAGAGCGGTCTCCAAAAGCAGACTGCTTAAGTTGTGAACTAGGTCTAGAATATAGTGCAGAAAATATTCCTTATCCATTTTGTATTTATTATTATTCAAGCGCATGTTTATCATTTGGCAATTGCTGATGCAACCAGTGCTTTTTTGTCATTTTTTGCGAAACAAAAACTTTATTGTGCTCTTTCTGTCATTTATTTTCCTTTTCGTTCCAACCTTTTTACAAATGTCACGTTGCTGTTTGTTACTGTGCCTCACCCTATCACTACTCCATATTTTCTGGTTGTTAGCTAAATTTCATCTGGAGGTCTAAATGAAACATGTTGTTGAACAATTCTATATAGCATTAGAAAGTTATGCTCTTTGTCATGTTAAGACAAGCTTTATGTGAGTTGAGTAAAAGTTGAGGAACTAGAACACTAGTCTTTACCTCGGAGGCACTCTATTACATGAATCCACTTAATCCGTATGTTACCATTAAAAACTGGCAAATTATTTTGGGAATTAACGCGTTCACATGGGAGTTTACTTATCATTACAGAATTCTTTTTGGAACTAGAGATTCGGATATTCCTGAAGCGTAGATGCGTTCCATTGTAGAGTTACACCATCAAAAGATTTCAGCTTGAGCAGTGACCACAAAATCTTAGAAATCCGTTTATTAAAACTGTGGGAATTGTGCAAGAAGGTAGCTAATTTCCTGGTGATCGTATACTAAAAAGGACTTTTGGGATGTGTGTACATGAATTAAAATATATGATCTCTCAGTTTTTCTAATCACAGCATGGGAAATTGCATCTTTTTGAGTAAGCTTGAGATTCGTTTTTCAGTTAAAAACATTGTAAATGAAAACTGCTTAGAGAAATTCGGAGTGGTAGCGAAGTAAAGCTGACTCTAAAACCTGAATGAGTGAACTATAAATTGCCCATAAGATAACCAGTTATTGAAAGTGGGCTTCGAATTTTTTTTTTTTGTGTGTGTTTTGATGCTAAACTTGTAGATGCTTGAGATGTAAATCGAATGCTTTTGTGATTGAAGAGAGAAAAAGAAAGGAAAACAATTCGAGAGGTCAATTAGACAGTCTTTGTGCTATCAATAAGGAACTTATCAACGCTATATTATTAATCAGAACTGCCAATCCTGAGTTTTCTTTTGCACTTTCAAAGCTTTTGAAAAACACAAGTACAAAATTGTTCTGAGTGAAATGTATTGAGCTATCAGGAATGTGGGACTTTAATTCGTAGAACAGTTACAACCACCTAACCTCTGTTTAGGAAAAAAGATTCTTTATCAAAACCACTTATCGCAGTATTCTTTATACCTATTCCCGCATTTCACTTTCCTATACTTTACACCACTCTTCCAAATTGCTTGAATGTCTTGCATTTATAGTTTTCGTTTCATTTAGCTGCTGGTGATATTGTCCCTTTTCATCTTCCAGTACCTTTTTCTTAGCACGCCTGAAGGTTACGGGAATATGAATTTCCCTATTTTGTTGTTACTGGTCATTGTTATCTTACAACACAAATTGCCCACTGGGATTTCATAGATGCGATACTGATAGTACCACCAAAAACCCATGCTTTCTAGTAATCTTTAAAGCAATTCTTTTATTTGATAAATTTCAGACATTACAGATGGTATTTATACTTACAATAGGTATATACAAACACAAGTGTAAGTATGTAATCAGCGACACAAAATGTGTAGGTCTTATCAGTGCTTAGGTGCCCATGTATACAATACATTTGAACTAAAAATCAAGACATTCATATCATTTAAGATGAGAATATGATAAAATTCTGTGCAAATTGGGTTCAGAATTGCTAACTGTCATGTTTGCTACAATATTTAAGTGCATAAAATGTTGCACTACCCGTTTGAACTACGAAAAAAACATTGGTGATACACTACAAATCATTTTACCCGAATAGATGCATCCATTACTGAGATCTTTCAGTTAACGATTTCCATATGTTCAGAGCTCTCCGACATCATTTCAGGGCATATTTGCTATGTTAGTTAGTTGAAGTAGGTTGTTCATCTGATTTTTTATCCTTTTATTTATTGTATCATACAAATTTATTATTTAAGCTAAATGATGTACTGCTTTTACTATTTTGTGACAAATTCAAATACAAAATTTTTAGGACGACTTCCGAGTGCTCTTGATACGATAGGATCAGTCAAGGAACGTATTGCCATATTTGAAACACTTTCAGTGGATGAGAAACTTGTTTCAACTCGTAAGGCAGATAATCTGTCAGAATTAGCGAAAGTTCCAAAGCGTGAGAGGTACAGTCTTTTTCGCGAAGGCCCTAGTGAACCTCATGATGAACCGAAAATAGTGCCTTGCAAGCCGGGAAGTGATCAATTCGATATAAAAGAGACTGGCAAGTTATTTTTATTAGCTCAAATTGAATATTCAAGTGGTCATGTAGACAGGATGACAAAAACACAAAGCAAAACTTACTGCGGGTATAATGAAACTCAAAAAGAGCAGGGATGTCCAAAAATATAATTATAACCAGATCATACAGCTACGCAAGAATCAAGTGGGCATTCCAGGAGTTATGGAATACAAAAACATATAATGAATATAGTGTGGTACATTGGAAACAGTGTAAAACAGACGAAACAAAAAAATGCGAATAAAAGCGTAAGAAATACAGAAAAGCAAAAATTGGCTAAATGGGAGCAAAAACTAAGCCTGACCTTCCTAATAAATTGGAAATGATCATGCAAAGACGATTCCAGAAAATAGTTGAAGTAGAAGTGGCAAAAAAATTACCGTAGGAAATAAAACAGAAGAGGATTCCTTTAGAAAATGATTTACAGCAACACAGCCAGCCATTTCCAATGAATTAAAAGACAAAGATGTACGGATCAGGGAACTTGTTCTGAAATCCATCCAATTGAAAGATGAGAAATCACTGATGCGGAAGCGCCTCCCAAAGCAATTTGAAGTCACAAGAAAAGAAATCCAATCAAAAGGACATGTTTCTGTAACAAAGAAAACCCTTTTAGTAGGTGTAACACTAGATTCCGAAAGTACTACTTGGAAAAAAATACTGATTCCAACTGAATACTTTGGACTAGAAAAATTTCTTCTGGAAAACGAAACTGTAAAAGATAAAACATTTATATTCCAGCATATTAAAGGACTTTCTATGCAAAAACTGAAGTTCAAGAAAAATGGACGCATGCTTTCTGAAGAATTAACTGAGAGAAGTGATATGTATACTCGGATGGTGAAAGGTGAAGAATACCCGAGTAAGGGTGTTAGTTGTTATACATTTGCAACAACATGTGCTAGTGAAAGACTGGAACTAGATTTCTTAAAAAATAGGAATGGTGAACCCGAAATGATTGTTCTGTAAAAAGAAATGAACGAACCTAAAGTATTACTGCCTGATGAAATGAGCAAGTATTGCCAGAGAAATCTACGAGATGCCGCATAGAATCAAATCAAAAGAACCACCCCTATCGGGGTAGAAAAGTTGTGGGAAATGGCTTGCTTAAAGAAGCAAATATATTGGAGATACTACCTGTTATAGCAAAAATTAAGTGAAAGAAAACATCTATGGTAAAAATCGGAATACCTAAGGAGATTTTACAACCGGAAAAATTAAAAGCAGGAAGAGACATAATGAGTATGACTCAGGAGAAAAATGTCACTGAGCAACATAAGAAACCATCTGCATTGTCGCAGATGATAACGGTTAAAAACATATGCAGCTTGTCTACTGAACGACATAAGCGAGAAATTTATAAAGCTGTATATGACGAAGACGGAAGACCAGTGCTACATAAGCAGCCAACTTGTAAAAACAAAGAACTAACGACCGCTTTGGAGCCAATTTCGAGACAAACAGAAGAGTTCCAGGAATTTATGCCAGTGGAAGCTTTCGAGAAAAAGGGAGAAAAGGATGGAATTAATTTTGATATTGTAATGCAGTTAGAAATGGAAGAAGGCAAAGTAAGATTGATAAAAACTACCGAAGAGAGAAACTGGAATTGTTTTAGCAAAAGAAACCGCAGCTGCGGCAAGAGTAATAGATTATCAATGGAGGGAAACAGCAAGAAAAGAGGTATATTACACACAGGGTATTCAGATAGAGTGGTTGCTTAAAGATGCAAACTCTCAATTTCAGGAAGATGAAATGGATAAACCAAAAATGATCGTCTTGCAAAGAGAAAAATAGTTTGGTAAAATGGAAGACAAAATGAAACATACAAAAAAAAAGACCATTACTGTTCGCTGTTCACTTCCGAGAAAATCATAATGACTGCCCCTTTCTAAGGATTTCACAAATGCAAATGTATGAGCTTGAGGATAATGAAAGAAGGCTTCCTTCCATACATTCAGAAGTAGGGGATTACGTAACTAAAGATTACTGTAGAAGGGGAAGCACAAGCACATCATGAGGCGGAAAGGAAAAAATCTGTATCAAAGAGAAAATGCCAACAAATCGAAGAACTAAAGAGGACGGAAGTTCTGTAGTTAATGAAGCACTAGATGAAATAGCTGAAACTACGCCCGAATTATGTGTATTAGCTCCAACTGAGAAATTAATAGATGTTAGCCAAAGATCGAATTTGCAGTATGAATTTGAAGTTTGAAGAGGAAGAAAATCTATTCGCAAAAAAATCTCCAAAGCTTGATAAGAAAGAGGACAACATGCCTGTCATTCCGAAAATTCCGAGAGATAAGGAGGGACTGAAAAAGAAACCTTACTAATAAAGAAAGAGGTAACTTCTGAATATTTGATTGACATCGATAGTGATTTTAAGAATAAAGAAACAGTCCATACAAAGTAACAGAAGGAGTTGAAATTAATTATAAGAGGTCACAGAAATGAAGACGAAAGCAAAAACTATGAGGACATTTTAAAAAATAATGAATTACAAAACTCGCTGGAAAGAACATCTCCTTTCATAAAAGGTTTTGTCGAAGATATCTTTGAATAACCTCTTTAAAGCTACTTTCGGATCATTGTTCCAAAAAAATTGATGGTGTCTGGTTTGTTTCAAAAATAGGAAAAGATGATGGAAGAAGCAAACATAACATCTATGTATATACTTAATTATGATGAAATGGGCAACAAAGATGATCAGTTATAAAAAGGAAATTGTAGAAAGAACTCTATAAAAGTCGGAGTAAAAAAAAATGAAGAGGAAAAAAATAAAATTATAGCAAATCAAAGTAAAGTGCTCAAAAGGCGAAGTGGAGCAAATAGAGAAGATTCCAAATGAAGGAATAGAATCTATAAAAGCAGAGAAAACAGAAGTTTCCAGGACACCACACGAATGCAGTGAGAAAATGGAGTAATACTTGATGAAACAAGAAAATGAAAGTATGAGAAGAAATGATGAAATTTGTGTAGGTCGATCTTATTCTGAAAATTCCAGAGAAAGTATTTCAGAAAGATCAGAAATTCTGATTGAAAGAAAGGAAGGAATTATTTAGATTTCGATATAAAGAAGTGGACTTGAAACTCTCAAGAACGATAGAGGAAAAGCTAGAAGTCGAAAGAACAGAAAAATATTACATTCCGATAGTGTGCTTCGTGATGCAGTAAAAAGCATGAACAGACATCAGACTATCTCGAATTAACGATTAAAATGGATGAATGGGACACTAAAAGTGTGGTAATCGTAATGAAGGGACTTCATAAATTGGAAGAGTTTCCCGCACTTCATAAAAAATGGTCAGAAATGGAAAAATCAGTACAGGAAGTTTTAATATCTGCTGTAGAAAAACCTATGATTGAAGAATTCTTAGAGCAAATTGAATTTACAGGAAAAAGTTCAGAAATGGAGATTAGTGAAACACTTACTTTAGAAGAAAAACAAGACGTTATGAGGATGATGATAAGTCTCAGTAGACATTTTTAAAAGACCAGTCTGATTTGAAACTGAGATTTGATGAAGCCGTTGAGGGAATTTCAGAACGTTGGTCAGGAAGTATTGAAAAGATATTAAGAAATATCCTAAACAAAGCTGAAAGTTCACAAAAGCTGCGAGATTTTCACCAGCAAGTCTTGAATTATATCCTGATATTGGGGACGTCGATATACTTGTAGAAAATCCGATAAAAGCGGGAAGAGACAAGTAATAAAAGATGACAAAGCTATAAAAGGCGTTGCAGGTGAACAGTATGGAACGAATGAGAATTATTCGCAAGACACTAAGATTGATGCAACAAAAAAGAGCACGGTTTCCTGGAAGTTGACAAACAGTATGGAGAAAAAAGATGATACAAATCAATATTTCCACCTTAATCGTCCAAGTAAAAATCAGATGTGGCCTAAGGAAAGGAAAGGAGGTGCTAGTGGTGCTGAAGAATCAAATTCCGATGACAAATATTTATTAGCAGCATAATGCCCTTTTAAATGCTACAGAAATAGCAATAAGCTTAATACCTATTGGACTGAGAAACAAAGAGATGTTAGAAAAACACTTGAAAGAAGAGTTGAATTGTAAGCATAATGAAACTGAACGTAATGCTGTTGAAATCTTGCAGATACAATTGGAGAAATGTGTAAAAAATGAGATATGTGAAGTAGGACAACAACAATTGTCAAGACATGGAGTTGTATTAAGGGGTAGGAAGGGAAGTCAAAGGATGGAAAGACTGCAACTGAAGTCGGGAAAGACTAACTGGGGAAGACACATTCAAGATGTAGTAATACGTCTAGAGGAGGGAAAAACGCGTAAGAGACAGAGGGTGTTATGGGAACATCTGTTGAGGACAGGTAAGAATGCAAACAGAGTAGATATTAAATGAGCATATATACATTAGGTGAAAAACTCATATCAAAGTACTTTCGGGAATACAATATTTTAGGACAAAAGAGCTTGGGGACAAAGAAGACAGCAATTTCGCAACATGAAATACTTGTCGAACAGAAGAAGTCTGTAGATACAACATCGCCAGAAGCCATGAAAAGAAGTCAAGAAAAAAGTGTTGAAGAGATATCAATTGCAGAACGACAGAATATGGAAGAAAAGCCCATTGTATCTGAAAATGATAGGCACGAAACAATTAGTGAAAGAGTTTATATTGAGCAACCTGAATTAAAAGACCTAAAAGAAGCTGGGTTAAGACCACCTGAACTGGTGTTAGAAAGCATTGTTTCAATGAAGCATGGACAAGACGCTAATACAATGCAATACGAAACGTTAAATATTCATCCAGATCTAATAATATCTGAAATCACAAAGCAAGGAGATTTGAAACAGCATGGAATTGAGATTGAAGGCACCTTTGAAAGCAGTGAAACTTCTGAAGACGGATTTTTTAGCCTCGCCGAAAAGATGGGCATAGCTTCAACAAGTGTGATTACCATTCCTGCGGCTTTAGCAACAATAGAAATTGCATCTGCCTATGAATGCGTTATGGAAAAACATCAGCAGAGTTTAGCAGATTCTGAACTAGAAGATAAAATGTTCAGTGTAAAAAAACTTACAACAACATATGGAACAGAATCAGAAAACCCTGCAAACGATCTTGAAGTTGAGGTAAAAAAAGTAAGACTGTTCGAAAATATTATTATACCTGATGAAAGAGTCGAGGAATACGGTTCCGTAATATCTAAAACACCAACTACAGAGGAAAAACATGTACTCGATATGAAATCTCCGGCAGAGTCAGAAATTGTGGATCAATTACGTAAAACGGAAGATTTGGTAGAAACTGAAACAAAATCGCTCGAAGATATTATACCTGATGAAAGGAATTTCGAGGAATACGGTTCCGTAATATCTAAAACACCAACTACAGAGGAAAAACATGTAACTGATATGAAATCTCCGGCAGAGTCAGAAGTTGTTGATCGGATAACTAAAACTCACGATTTGGTAGAAACTGAAACAAAATCGCTCGAAGATATTATACCTGATGAAAGGAATTTCGAGGAATACGGTTCCGTAATATCTAAAACACCAATTACACAGGAAAAACATGTACTCGATATGAAATCTCCGGCGGAGTCAGAAACTGTGGATCAATTACGTAAAACGGAAGATTTGGTAGAAACTGAAACAAAATCGCTCGAAGATATTATACCTGATGAAAGGAATTTCGAGGAATACGGTTCCGTAATATCTAAAACACCAATTACACAGGAAAAACATGTACTCGATATGAAATCTCCGGTAGAGTCAGAAGTTGTTGATCGGATAACTAAAACTCACGATTTGGTAGAAACTGAAACAAAATCGCTCGAAGATATTATACCTGATGAAAGGAATTTCGAGGAATACGGTTCCGTAATATCTAAAACACCAACTACAGAGGAAAAACATGTAACTGATATGAAATCTCCGGCAGAGTCAGAAGTTGTTGATCGGATAACTAAAACTCACGATTTGGTTGAAACTGAAACAAAATCGCTCGAAGATATTATACCTGATGAAAGGAATTTCGAGGAATACGGTTCCGTAATATCTAAAACACCAATTACACAGGAAAAACATGTACTCGATATGAAATCTCCGGTAGAGTCAGAAGTTGTTGATCGGATAACTAAAACTCACGATTTGGTAGAAACTGAAACAAAATCGCTCGAAGATATTATACCTGATGAAAGGAATTTCGAGGAATACGGTTCCGTAATATCTAAAACACCAACTACAGAGGAAAAACATGTAACTGATATGAAATCTCCGGCAGAGTCAGAAGTTGTTGATCGGATAACTAAAACTCACGATTTGGTAGAAACTGAAACAAAATCGCTCGAAGATATTATACCTGATGAAAGGAATTTCGAGGAATACGGTTCCGTAATATCTATAACACCAACTACAGAGGAAAAACATGTACTCGATATGAAATCTCCGGCGGAGTCAGAAACTGTGGATCAATTACGTAAAACGGAAGATTTGGTAGAAACTGAAACAAAATCGCTCGAAGATATTATACCTGATGAAAGGAATTTCGAGGAATACGGTTCCGTAATATCTAAAACACCAACTACAGAGGAAAAACATGTAACTGATATGAAATCTCCGGCAGAGTCAGAAGTTGTTGATCGGATAACTAAAACTCACGATTTGGTAGAAACTGAAACAAAATCGCTCGAAGATATTATACCTGATGAAAGGAATTTCGAGGAATACGGTTCCGTAATATCTAAAACACCAATTACACAGGAAAAACATGTACTCGATATGAAATCTCCGGCGGAGTCAGAAACTGTGGATCAATTACGTAAAACGGAAGATTTGGTAGAAACTGAAACAAAATCGCTCGAAGATATTATACCTGATGAAAGGAATTTCGAGGAATACGGTTCCGTAATATCTAAAACACCAACTACAGAGGAAAAACATGTAACTGATATGAAATCTCCGGCAGAGTCAGAAGTTGTTGATCGGATAACTAAAACTCACGATTTGGTAGAAACTGAAACAAAATCGCTCGAAGATATTATACCTGATGAAAGGAATTTCGAGGAATACGGTTCCGTAATATCTAAAACACCAATTACACAGGAAAAACATGTAACTGATATGAAATCTCCGGCAGAGTCAGAAACTGTGGATCAATTACGTAAAACGGAAGATTTGGTAGAAACTGAAACAAAATCGCTCGAAGATATTATACCTGATGAAAGGAATTTCGAGGAATACGGTTCCGTAATATCTAAAACACCAACTACAGAGGAAAAACATGTAACTGATATGAAATCTCCGGCAGAGTCAGAAGTTGTTGATCGGATAACTAAAACTCACGATTTGGTAGAAACTGAAACAAAATCGCTCGAAGATATTATACCTGATGAAAGGAATTTCGAGGAATACGGTTCCGTAATATCTAAAACACCAACTACAGAGGAAAAACATGTAACTGATATGAAATCTCCGGCAGAGTCAGAAGTTGTTGATCGGATAACTAAAACTCACGATTTGGTAGAAACTGAAACAAAATCGCTCGAAGATATTATACCTGATGAAAGGAATTTCGAGGAATACGGTTCCGTAATATCTAAAACACCAATTACACAGGAAAAACATGTACTCGATATGAAATCTCCGGTAGAGTCAGAAGTTGTTGATCGGATAACTAAAACTCACGATTTGGTAGAAACTGAAACAAAATCGCTCGAAGATATTATACCTGATGAAAGGAATTTCGAGGAATACGGTTCCGTAATATCTAAAACACCAACTACAGAGGAAAAACATGTAACTGATATGAAATCTCCGGCAGAGTCAGAAGTTGTTGATCGGATAACTAAAACTCACGATTTGGTAGAAACTGAAACAAAATCGCTCGAAGATATTATACCTGATGAAAGGAATTTCGAGGAATACGGTTCCGTAATATCTAAAACACTAACTACAGAGGAAAAACATGTAACTGATATGAAATCTCCGGCAGAGTCAGAAATTGTGGATCAATTACGTAAAACGGAAGATTTGGTAGAAACTGAAACAAAATCGCTCGAAGATATTATACCTGATGAAAGGAATTTCGAGGAATACGGTTCCGTAATATCTAAAACACCAACTACAGAGGAAAAACATGTACTCGATATGAAATCTCCGGTAGAGTCAGAAGTTGTTGATCGGATAACTAAAACTCACGATTTGGTAGAAACTGAAACAAAATCGCTCGAAGATATTATACCTGATGAAAGGAATTTCGAGGAATACGGTTCCGTAATATCTAAAACACCAACTACAGAGGAAAAACATGTAACTGATATGAAATCTCCGGCAGAGTCAGAAACTGTGGATCAATTACGTAAAACGGAAGATTTGGTAGAAACTGAAACAAAATCGCTCGAAGATATTATACCTGATGAAAGGAATTTCGAGGAATACGGTTCCGTAATATCTAAAACACCAACTACAGAGGAAAAACATGTAACTGATATGAAATCTCCGGCAGAGTCAGAAACTGTGGATCAATTACGTAAAACGGAAGATTTGGTAGAAACTGAAACAAAATCGCTCGAAGATATTATACCTGATGAAAGGAATTTCGAGGAATACGGTTCCGTAATATCTAAAACACCAACTACAGAGGAAAAACATGTAACTGATATGAAATCTCCGGCAGAGTCAGAAACTGTGGATCAATTACGTAAAACGGAAGATTTGGTAGAAACTGAAACAAAATCGCTCGAAGATATTATACCTGATGAAAGGAATTTCGAGGAATACGGTTCCGTAATATCTAAAACACCAACTACAGAGGAAAAACATGTACTCGATATGAAATCTCCGGCAGAGTCAGAAATTGTGGATCGGATAACTAAAACTCACGAATTGGTAGAAACTGAAACAAAATCGCTCGATGATATTATACCTGATGAAAGGAATTTCGAGGAATACGGTTCCGTAATATCTAAAACACCAACTACAGAGGAAAAACATGTACTCGATATGAAGTCTCCGGCAGAGTCAGAAACTGTGGATCAATTACGTGAAACGGAAGATTTGGTAGAAACTGAAGGCGGACCTTTCGATGATAATATATCAGACAGAGAGATTCTGGGAGAACGCGGTGCAATGATATGTAACAAAGGAACTACAAAAGGGCATACTGAAATGGAGAGCTGGAGAGACCTGCAGAAAGCTGTGGATGTGTTATGCAGGATGGGAGATTTGGAAGAAACTGAAGGAGAATCGTTCGAAGATATTATGCAGGGTGAAAAGATTCTTGGGGACTACGCTATCTCAGGGTATGAATTTGCATCGATTAAAGAAAAACCTGTTTCATCTTGGAATGCTAAGTGTGAAGCTGATGAACCCATGAAGCAATATGGAAACGTGTACGTGACAGACTCAGAAAGTGAACATCTCCAATCAAAAGTGGTGAAGTCTGCGAGGAATGCAACAGAAGTAGCAGTACCTATTGTTCTTGCTAAATTCCGAATGTCAGAGGTCCGTGGTGTCGATGGAGGTGATAAAGATATGCAGATGGTTAGCGAAACACCTTCTTCTGAGACTAGACGGGTCGTTCTAGAGTGGATGCAGTCTATGGTTAATGATGTGAGTGAAGAGAGAAATCCCGTGGAAAGCAATGATAGGGTAACAAAAGGAGATGTTTGTACAAAAGAACAAGTTACACTTCTTGCTAAAGCACCAGCAATAGAGTGTTTGAAACAGGAATGTGCTGACCATACAGTTGTACCAGCTGTGGAAAGAGAAAATAGGCTTGTTGAGATATACAAAACAACAGTGTCTGAACATGAAATTTTGCAACCGCTGGAAAACGTACAACATCAATCTTTTATGAAGAAAGATCTCGAGGAAACAGAAACGAAACAATTTGAGAGTATGGTCTCGGAGTGTCATTTTTCCCAGAGCTACGATATCTCAGTAGCCGAAGAAATAATTATAGGAGAATGTAAAAAGCCCTTAAGGAATGAAAGCGAATATCCTGATACTTCGGTAGAGATGTTTAGAAAAAATCTGGAGGGAACCGGAGCCCGAAAATCCGAAGATATTTTACAGCAGGAATGCGGTGCTTCACTACTTAAAGAATTAGTAAAGGAGGAAAAACTTACAGTAGTTCATGGAAAAGAACAAAAATATGCGGTACCGCAAGCAGGAGAAAAGAAGCACTTACCCTTTAATGAAAGAGAATCTGAGGAAAGTGCTTGCACTTTACAAAAAGATATTGAGAATCAGCAATCGGAGATGGAACACTCTGAAGGATTTAAAGTAAAAGTATTCAAGGAAGAAATCTCAAAGAATATGAAATCTGAAGGAATAAAATTTGGAAGAGTGGTATCTCAGAAATTTGTAGAAGAGATGAAGGGTGATAAACGGGATAGCGTTGAATTCGCTAAGGAACTTGTTAAAGGACAGATTGTAGGAGAATCCCCAGATGTTATTGGTTCTTGGAACTATAAGGAAACTGGATTTTCCAGAGAAATTTCTAGTGGTATAGCTGAAGTGAAAGGAAGTGCTAGGGATGAGGAAGCATTTTTGCTAAAAATACAATCTGAAATAGAAGATAGACAACGAACTACTGAATTTGCAGCAACGAAAAACAAGGAAGAATGTATAGACACAGGACCATTTCAAAGTGACATGCTGTTTTCAAGTGATGTTTCGTTTGCAGATTTGGTATTTGCTGATCCGCTACATGGAACAGATGATACAACTGGAATTGAGCAATTGAAGACAGAAAGCAGAGATTTACAAAAAATGGGTAAGTTAATATCTAACTTGACAACAGAACAACTACCGACGAAAGAAAAGGAAACTGTGAGATTGAGCAAAGAAGAAATCACACCGCAACAAATGCAGGAATCTCTAATAAAAATACAGGGAGATGTGGAAAATTTGGTGATGCATCAATCAGAACAAAGCATCATTTGCAAAGGATTGAGACCAGTTGCAGGAACTGAAAAGATTAAAGAAAAGAGTCGATCCAAGTTTTACTCAATAACTGCTGCATTCGAGCAACCTAGATCAGGATCACCGAAAAAGAAGGATTTTGAAAGAGTATTTTATAAGCCTGGTGCGTTCTTGGATTACGTCCAAGAATACAAGGATAACATAAAGGATGTGGAATACAGTAAGACAAGTAGCGATGCAGATGCGGAGGATAGAAACGAATTATGTGTGGAGGAAGAACAACGGTGGACAGATGAAAAAAAGCTTTTGAAGTTTGCAGAAGAAACTGGAACGGTTGCTAAAGAAATTATTTTGACACCTGATACATTGACGACTCTTGATACAACAAAAATTTGTGATCACGATGTAAAAAGCGATATAAGAGAGACACCGATTGAACAACTTCCTGATACAGATCATCTACAGCTTATGCCGTTAATAACTACTAGGCAGTATGTTGAAGCTGCAGTGATGCAAGGAATGGTAGCAGAAGAAGGAATTATCAAAAAAGAAATTGTTTATGACCCAGCTAAGAATCTGAATGAACCAGTACTAAAAGATGAAGAAGAGAGAATAGGCAGAATAACTGGATCATTTGCAGTTGAGACTTTAGATCGGGAACCTTTGATAAATATGCATTTCCAATCTTCAGCTGACCAGAATGCTGTTTTTATCTCTTCAGATATGCAAATGGATACTTCATTTCTGGAAAAGATATCTCAAAAGAATTGTGGGAATGAAGTTTTAATAGAAAGCGTTGACGAAAATATGCAAATAGGGACATTTTTTAAGGAAAACATGAGGAAAGAAGTGCCAGAAAATAATGAATTTCAACCGATGGTACCATCGATCAAAAGTGTAGAAGAAGGAGTGACGCTAAAGACTGGAATGGCAGGAAGTAAAGAGAAAAGTTTAGCTGAATTGGTGACAGAAGAAGGAACATCTTATGAAGTTGACTTGGACGGAAAAAGTCATCTAATCATGGATCATAAATCACGTATGGACGAAAGAACGAAATCCTCAGCAGAAGATAAGTATCCTTATGAACTAACTGTTGATATATCATGGGCTTTAGAAGAAAAAGATGACACTGATGCGGAAACAGAAGTACAAAAACAAAAATCTTCCTACATGGAGCAAGTAATAACATACCCTAGCGACGATACACTTAATGTTATAACGGAAGAAAGAGTAACTGGAAGTATAGCAAAAAAATGTAAAGATTCAAGCATTAAGCTAAATGGCGATAGCAATAAAAGTTCTGCAAGGTTCGAGTCTATGAAATGGGAAAAACTAACAGACGGATTTGAAATGACTTCAGAAAAACTGAAAATGAAGGGACTGATGGGAGAATCAGCGGTGAAAGCAGAAAAGGTAACATTTGATCACAATAAAGGATTTGTAATTAAGATACCTAGAACAGATAAAGAGGAAAGTGAATCATTCTTCATACATCGTTTTGAACCAAAGGAATATCACATGAAGTCTTCTGAAATCACTGCAGTGGAGTCAACGACCACACAAAAATGGCTAGGAGCTGAAAAAGAAAGTCAAGAAGATCTTACCATTCAGAGACGGCAAATATCAGAGCTAAGCAGAGATGAGAAATTAGAAAATGTTGATGCAAAAGCATTAGCGATGATGAATAATCAAAAGGAGTATGAGAAGAGATTAATAACCATGGAAGGTGATCAGGAGTTAAATGAAAAAGCAGAAATGGCACAGAACCTTGAAAAATTAAAAATTTACAGTAGCGATGGTATGATGCCTCAACAGCCTGCTGGAAATGATAAGAAGTCGTGCTTATTAAAAAGATCCTCTGAACAGTTGATTACTAAACATGAATTAATGACTTCATTTGAAAAAGGCGAACTGGAGAGAGATATTTCTAATAAAAAGATTACTTCAAGTTGGTGTGAGCTGTCGAGAGAGGAACCGAGAAACATAGCTTCAGAGGCATTTCTAGATACTATCGAAATTTGTTCAATAATTCCCCAGCAAAGGAAAAATGTTCAGATTTTTGCAAAAGAATCTGATAGATATCAGTTTACTGATTTTTTCTTAAGCGATGAAAAAGTGCAAAAAGAAGACAAATCATTAAGTTACTCTGAAAGACCTAATAGGTTTTCTGTAATAGAGAAAGTAACCTCGGTAGGAAAGGAATCCTTTAAAGATTTCTTTGCTTCTGCTGAAGCATCGAGAAGTGGAGCAACAAGTATTCTTGAAGCTTCAGGAGTTTCATCAGTTTCCCGATCTCTAGAAACAGTTCAGGTGGTCGAAGGTCAGAAAAGTTTTCTCAGAAGTGCTTCATTTGATGTTGCCGACAATAGTATGGAGAAGAAAAAAAGGGAGGAAAAGATATCTCATTATGGGGAATTAGAAGGACACATAAACGCCTCAGTTATTTCAAGTGCAGAAGCTATTGTGGAACGAAATAATGTAAAAGTAATTTACGATGAAGTAACTGGCGCGCTTTGGCAACAAGCAGACGGCGACACAAGCGAGAAAACTTTTTCAAGAAGGCAACTGGAATTAGCAGCAAAAGAAAAAAGTACTGTTCAACTGAAAAATGAACAAAATATAACCCTTTCGAGTGCTTTTGATAGATACTCTGCTGGACAACAAAACTGTCAGAAGTTTACGTTATCAAGAAAGAAAGAAGTGGAGAAAGGCGCATCTTCATCGTTTTTTGCATCAGTGTTCTTAAATTATGCAGAGGATACTCAGATTGAATCATTGCAAAAGGTGGAAAAAAGAACTAAATCACTAGAAGAAACTGCAGTTGTTCCTCAAAAAAAGATCGAAGAAGAGATTTTCATTAACAAATTAAGTCATTCAGTAGGAGAATATTTAGAAACAAAAAAGGATGTGTATGAAATAAAGAGCGTAAGAAATAGTAATAATGGGAGAAAAATGAAAACGATAGCTGAATCTACTTCAGAGTTTGTTTTTGAGGAATCATTGACGCTGACAAAAGCGCCATTAGCAAGGCAAAATATTGCTAAAGGATCATTTGAAACGGATAAGGAAACAAAAATTACTCATGTCATTGATTTAGAAGTGAATGCGGGTTATTTAGTTGGCGAAAGCAAGGGGAAACTAGGTGAAACAGTCAGCAGGAGCAATGTAAGTGAGCAGAGTAATTGCAGCGTAAATTCCTTGATTGGAAAACATTGCAGTAATAAATCACCGCCCAGCGAGGAAAGAACTGCTGCTGAAAAGAGTGTACCCCAAGTTGAACATGAACATGAAGCGGACTATGAATGTGATTTAAAGAAGAAGTTAGAAACGTTTGCAGAAGAAACGAGGAAGTTAAAAAGACACGTAGAAGGATGCAATAGTTTACTTAAGGAATATGAAAGAAATGAGGAAGAGCTTAATATACAGACAACAGTAATGGTTGATGACGTGAAAGCAATAGAAAGCTTATCACGTAGTGAATCCACCTATAAGACGGCAACGGCTACATCAAGAGATGGTTATGATACATGCCTTACATCCCAAGAGGACACTTTCGAAACAGCTCCTGGCTATCATTCTCAGGAATCTGAGTACACTACAGCAACTAGCGAAGCTAGCAGTAGATTGTCAGTAATGAGTGATGAGTGTAGAGAAAGTGCTACACCGATTGCAATTCTCTCACCAGTACAGTCTGATCGTCTTTTTACTGCATCTCAGGATGAAGAACAAGAACCAAGTAGGCAAGAAAGTAGAGTTATTGATCCAGAACGTTCTAGTCGAGATGTGCCTGATATAGAACTTGTATCTGTTGAAGATGAGGATGATATGGGAGAAGGCTTACTGCTAACAACTAGTGGTATTCTACTCGCTCCAGATATGGATCCTGGACGACCTGTTTCCCCAGTTCCTCCGGGTTTCAGTGATGAGGATGAAAGTATTGCTGTTGCTATTGCATCTGATTACTCCAGGAAAGTTGTCGATGGCTTAGCGGAAATTAAAGTTCTTGACTCTATTATAGAAGCTCCAGGAGACGATGCTGATCAGGTATTTTCGTCATGGAAACAAGAAGTACCTAATTTTACAACCTTTCAGGAATCAGTGCATGAAAAAGCAATGGATTTTGAAAAAGAATGTTTCCCACAATATTCATATCTATCTACTGAAAATAAAACGAGTATTGTTCATAGGATCGAAGAAGATGAAATTGCAGATGTTGCATTGTCCTCCGAAGCAATTTTATATACCGAATCTGATTCATTAGATTCTCTTGATAAAATATCAGTTAAAAGTGGAAGCAGTGGTAAGAAATATAGCACATCACGTCGAAGCAGCACCAGCTCTCGAAAAGGTTCACATGATGAACCACAAACATTTCTTGAACGACTTACACCAGAGTTGAAAATGTCATGGATAGAAAAGAATCAGGAAGTGGGATCAGCTAAGCAAACTGCATTGTCATTATCTGATGAGTATCCAATGTATATGGAAAACGGACAAGTAAATCCAGTAGAAGTGGAGTTAGAGACACTGCATGAAGAGCCGGAAGAAGCGGATTCGTTAAATGAAAGAAGTGCGTCTTTAAATGGCCAGGGAACAGATATCAGTGTAACAGTTGGGAAATACAAAACGGTTTCAAGCGACAATGTCTCCGAAACGAGTTTGCAGGAATTTGAACGAATCGAGCGAGATGTATTAAACAAAGGTGAATCAAGTCTTAGTGGAAGTGAAGCTGAGCTGTACGTAGCCGGGAAATTGAAAACAGCTGATGGTTCAACAAGTTCCTTAGCCGAATTTGAACGACTGGAACAAGAGGTCATAGTCGAAGGTTCCCAACAAGATGAAGCAATGATACTATCCGATATACGTGAAGAGTCGGAGGTCGAAGAGATGAGTATAAGAGACGATGACGAAGAAGAACAGGATTCCATTTCGGATATAAAAGCAATACCAGTTGAAGAAGATATCCAAGTGGCAACACCATTAGCTTCACCAACCGATAGCATTGAAAGGGATTTCGAAAATTTTATTCCAGAAGCGATGGGAACAAGCATTGATTCTTTAGAAATTAATGCCCCACCACAGAGCGATTTAATAGATGAACGTTATTTAACTGAATATGAAGTCATTGAAAAAGTGCATGAAGGGATGCATGATTCTCTTGAAATAATTCCGCAAGACAAAGATTTTATGCAGGAAGAGGTTGCCATGCGAGAAGTAAGTAAGGATAGGCAAACACTATTGAGTGATGATACGGTGAGTATATATCAAGACCAGGAAGAAAAAGATTCGTTAGCTGGTGATTTGGACACTGTGCTTCATGATTATCCGACCACGCTAACAACGTTTGAAACGATGCAAATCAACGAAGATGGTTCAACAGAAATAATCTCAAGAAAGGTTCTGACTCGTGTCACTGATCCAGTTATTAGTCATGTACAATTTACTGGAACGGAAAATGAGCATCGCTTACGTGATTTGGAACGAGAAGAACAATTTGAAACTGTGGATGTGGAAGGTAACATTACGCGAACAACACTTCATCGCAGTGCTCCTTCATCCTCTGCAGGTATTTTACTTTTAATGTTTCGCATTTTTCAGTTGTTCTTGCATGCAATTTCATGAAACATGAACATGCTCATTGGCATTTATTCATGGTATCTGTTATTAAAGTTAAAACCCCCCGCCCCTTAGACACAGCATTTTAATTCATGGATTGTGTTAGATCTTTCAAATTTATGCTTCTGCAAATGTTATGTTTTGTCCAGGACTGTTTTCGCATCCTATTTAAATAGCTAACTAGTCATAATCTTGCTGTAATCTTATGATTTGTTCGTAATGAAGTAAGATACTTAAACCAAGTTTAAAAGAAATTGTATCTACGAGATCGGTGAGTTGAGCACGGTTTTAGTAATTTTCGCATGTCATTCTAGATCTCTTTAAATAGTCATAGTATTATTTTCGAATACCAAACAGGAAAAAGTTATGGTGTCAAATGCAGATTAATAAAACTGCGAAATATATATTTGTCTTCTACTTTATACCATATCAATTTATTTATAGTTCCAAAAGATCTGAATTTCAATTTATGAAGGTTTATTTAATCGAATACTTCAGTACCTAAAAGATTTACCATAAATGTTACATGCTGATAATTCCTTGCTACTCAACTAATAAGTTAATCTGTCGCTATCAATATCATCGGTTAATAAAGCAATAAATTGAAATTTAGATTGTTGCTATTCATTAAACTAGCCGTTGTGGAATTAGTTGTTAATTTATTTTGCTTGAATTTCAAAAAAGCGAACTGCTTCCTCTTAGATAATTATGGTAACGATTATTATATATGATCAAAGCTCAGCCTTTCCCATAATTTTTTAACAACAATAAATTCATGGGAACAGTGTTGTATTAAAAATCAGTATTTGAGGTTGAACAAATGAAAGTACTACAGCTGTTAGTAATTTTTCGATTCTTACCAAATATCATTATTCAAATAAACTTTGGTTATAGAGCTGAGAATGCTGCAATTTTTCAGAAGAGTAACAACATTTGTATGCTCTAAACTTTTTGTCTCTCTGATCATTTCATTATTTTGTTGCAGGTACTTCGCTTTCAACTCATCGTGGTTGATTTCATCAGCATTCAGAGTGATATTTTTTTTGTCATCACAATTTTTGCTTGTTCTTGAATTATTTTGCTTTCCTTTCTTGACATCCCTTTTAAACAACCTTTGTCAGATTGGTATTGTTTTCCCTAAATTTAGCTTTATCAATTGATGTTTTTTTTTTTTTTTTTTTTTTTTTTTTTTTACAGTTATAAACTGCATTGCGCCGGGTTATGGAGGAATTTTAATATATTCTTGTACTTTTGAATCTTCCAGTTAATAACATCCAAGTGTATGTAGGATAGTGTTAGGGTAATGGGAATACGAGATTTGGAGTTAATTATTACATTAAATTGGTGTTTATTGGGGTGCTTGATAAAAAAGTTTTTTTTTTTGGCCCATCATAGAATAAGAAATTTGCTTTACCCTTTGTTTTTGGTGAAAGTGACCCAGTTTTAAAAACAGTTTTATTAGTTTGAAGTGTAAGAAGCATACTCAAAGTAGAAAATATATATATTTAAGACATAGTTGATTATTTCATATGCATTGCACCAGAGCTGGTCATGTTGCAACTGTTCCTGGGAAATTCTGTTACTTTCCCAGAAGTAATGATAAATATCACTTTACGTATCCATTTCTACTACATCGTAAAATTAATTTGGATTTCATTTTTGTTACACCTATTATGAACCAGCATTTTTAGGGTCAAAAGGAACAATCGATATACCTATCCAGTAATTTTTGCGGAACTTTCTGCACTTTATAGCAGGTATTGCTTGATTCTGTTATTAATTACTAATATTAAATAGATGCTTCAAAGTTTCGAAGATTTATGCACTTCCTTTGCAATATACTTGAGTGTTGACAATTTGCTCCTAAACGGCATCTATTTAAAGGCGCAACTGAGAGTTTTGGCTTTCGACTTGAATTCTCTGTTAGCACATTCTAATCAAAATTGAGCGTACAGAGAGTTGTGAATTTATTTGTCATAAAGTATCCCAACTGTATCTTAATGTCTATAAAATGCATAATTTCGTCGCGTTTTCATTCACTCTGTTTATATCACAAAATGGCTTTTGGCGCCTTATTTCATCGGATAGCTTAAAGAGAGAGAAATGTAATGCGGATTATTACTAACAAGTCATCATGCCGTAAGTTTCACAGATTGTTTGACAGCTGCTTCTTTATCCCATGGACCTGCGAAGTTTTATGCATGTTTGTAATTCTTAGCAACAGGACTTGTCAACAGCGATTTATCGAATCAGTTTACTAGGAAAAACTGGTGAAGGAATAAGTTAGCACGCGACTGCTCCTAGAACTACTCTTTGTTCTATACATTGCAATTCTCACTGTGTATGTATTTATTGTTGTCATGGAAGTCGGTTGTAAATCACTAACCTTAAGTTGAAGTTTCGAAAAAGGTCTTCCCAAGTGAAGAAATTCTTGCAAAAGTAGAAACTTTCGAAAAAATAACTTTTATCTTCATATTACCAGAAAATTAAACGCTAAACACTGCAATTTTAACAGAATTATCAGGCAAAATCACTTTTTTAATAGTTGAAAAAGCAATTCGATAGTGAAAATTTATGAAGAATTTCCTGATTGTTGAAAGATCGAACTAAATTTTTAAACAAAGTAATAAAGGAAACCCATAAATATAGTGAGACGACCGTTAACCTAAAAATACGTTCAATTTTTCCTCAATGTCCGTAGGCAAACCACCCAGAAAACCTGTCAATGAAAAAATGAATTTACTGTGTCAGAGATTATGAAGAACATGCTGTTCTTAGAAGTCCGAAGTGGCTAGGAAGGCTGGCAGACATTATACTGCATTAAGAAAGCGAAAAATGTTTTAGGAAGAATTGTGAACTGCGAAGGATAGAGTAAAATATAACTATATATATGTGTGGAGAATTTTAAAAAATCTTATTGTTTTTGGGAGATCTTGCGGACATTCGTTAGATATTGATATTAATACATAGGTTAACACAGAATTATAATAATTCCTTTACCAGCGGAATCAACAGTACAATAAATTTGATAGAGAACAATTGAAGCAATGGGAAATCCCTTTTGTGGTCGAACTGCCTCGTTATTGATATATATATTTATGCCATAGCAAAGAAATGATTAAAAACATGCTTAATGAAGCAGTAACATTCACTTTACGCGTATACTACAAGAACAATAATTAATTGGAAATGTAGAGTGGAATGAAACCAGTCTATTCTTTTGGGAACGATTCTTGATATGGTACTCTAAAATTTTATACTTTTAGGAATACGTTACATTGTTAAAAATTTCTTCACATAGCATTGTGTGATTAAATAAATTTCGGAACAGGAAAATGTTAGGATTGATTGAGGACATTGAGAGCAGGCCTATTTATCATCAGCTGCAGAACGTTTATAGTTTCTTATAAGTAGAGCCACCGCTAACCGACCTTCCGTCGTTGTCACCATAGCTATATAATGTAATTGCTGCTTTGTGTTCCTTTCTCTCGTGATGCATGATATTGGGTCGCCGAGATGGGCATGGACAGTACTGAAAACAAATCAATCTCTTTTGAGAGTTTTTTTTTCAGAAGAGCAGAAACCACCTAGCAGTACTTCAACTAAGAATACTCTCCATTTCTTAGATTAGCTGAATTCATTGAAGAATAAAAAGGAATACCTCTGCATCTTTTCCAGGCCTTCCTTCTTCGCCTTCAGGTCCTATTGGTCCTTGAGGACCAGGCAGACCAGCAGGGCCAGGGCTTCCTGGTAAACCTTGTGGGCCAGCTTTACCAGTTTGCCCCTCAGCACCTTTGTCTCCGGGTGGTCCTGCTGGTCCTAGTGGTCCCCTTGATCCCTTCGAACCAGGACGACCAACTAAATGGTGCACATCTAAACCTCTAGAACCTGGAGGACCCATTTCGCCATCTTTACCTGAAATCGAACCGATGTAAATTATTACAGTGTTATATAAAAGTGAATGAAGTCAGTTGTCGACTAAATTTTCGAGTATGAGATGCGAATTGAGAAATATGCCCAAAAAAAACTTTTGTTACACAATACCAAATAAAATACTAGTTTTTGGGACATATGATTAATTGCCAACAGTGCATTTCGTTTCAACAAAATGATCATTGCACTCACCTACAGGTCCTGCCGATCCAGGTTCACCAGGTGGTCCTGGTTGTCCATTTCTTCCAGGGACACCGCTCTGACCTTTTGCACCTGCGACTCCTCTTAGGCCGGGTTTCCCAACTGCTCCTGGAATACCAGGCAGTCCTCGGGGACAGTGATAACATGGCGCTTCGTTGTGAAGCGGTGACATATTTTCAACATCTTTGCCAGGTTGCCCATCAATGCCAGGTATACCGCTTAACCCAGTATGTCCTGGTGGACCCTTAGAGCCTGGCAGCCCAACTGGACACGAGTTTCCTTTAGCACATTCTGTAATGATAGCTTGATTAACTGGTAAAAAAAATATGCTAATAGGACAAAAGTTGCCCACATCCTTTTTTCGCTTTTTTGATCAAAAACGGGTAAGTAAAAATGCTAGCTATCATAGAGACTACAGAATGATACTTTCAAATGCACAACAGTTTTAAAGTAAAAAAATCAAGTGGGAATGTAATTTTTCTCCATGAATGAGGAAGTAATTTAATTCTTTAAATTTCTGAATGCTTTTATTAACATCCAACTGATCTATAAAATCCTTGATGACAACTAAAAACCGGATCTAAGTGAAAATGACTTTATCGTTAATCAATAAAAGTAAATTTACTACAAATATCGGTTAATTGTGGTCCACTCGGCGGAGAACCTTTCGTTTTTTGTTCGCCATCTATATTGGGTAAAGATGAACCGGCAACCGGCTTGAAAAATTGATCAAGTCCTTTATTTCTGTCGCCAGGTGATTTGAACTTGTACAACTCCAGCAAAGTACTACTGTCAGTGCTAGAAGGTGGAACTGATGTGCGAGAATCGTGCTGACCTTCAGTGTTGCTAGTAACTAACGATGCTTTGTCGTGGGAGATTTCTGCAACAATAAGGTGAAATAATTACAATCCAACAAGTGTTCTTGAACCTGTAGTTGTGTAATTTGCCTTTTTCATTTGTGATGCTTTAAAAGCTTAAGAAAAATTAGAGGATGTAGTGTTTTTTTTTATTACGTTTTTCAATCACTTATAGAAGATGAAACCGGAACTCTTGGATATCGATTACTTACTACTGACATCCTCCGGTATTTCCATGATAACAAATTCATTTTGTTCTGTTTTCTTCTCGCAAAAAGCGAAAAGCGCTGTTTAATAGTAATTTAAAACCCTCGCTTCTCAGAAGAATAAGGATAAAGGAAGAATTTCTATATGTCCACTTTAGTTTTATATGAAATTTCTTTGTTTCTCTTTTTTTTAAAAAGATCGGATTTGCTTTTTACAGTTTTTCCTGTTCACATATATCTTATAAAATCATTTAATAATATAAAAATTAAAGTGAGATTCAACCGAATATCTATTCCTGATTTTTACGTTGCATACTTTCGTGTTAAATCACTCTATATCCCCATGTTTCTTTCCTCCCAATGTCAACAGGGAAATCTGTGGAAAGATAATTTATCCTGCTATTTCTATTTTAGCCATTAAGAGGTAAAAAATTTCTAATAGAACACCTGCATAATTAACTCTACATTAGGTAAGCTAACAGTTGTAATGCCCAGTTGCGATGATGGAAAATAATTTTCTATTGAGGAAATACGTTCTGTTAAAATTGCATTAAAGAAAATATTCTCGAGAACACTTTGAATAATAAGTAGTTGTATCATGGATATTTACCAGTAGGGTGATTTCCATATTCATGAATACTATCTGAACCTTTCTCATTGTATCTCCTTTGACGCCGTTTTGAAGGATTTTGTCCAAGTATTATCAAATCGTCCCATAAATCATCAGTAATTACCTATAAAGCACTCCTAAATCTCGTTTTATAAAGTGTAAATTGTTCAGTCGACCATATATGAAAAAGATAAAGAGAGAAAGAAC